CTTTCGATTCTTTTTCCTTTCTCTTCTTTTTCTCCACCTTCTTACTCCTCATCCTACTCTCTCTCATTTGCTTTTTTCACCCTCTTCCCCATCTTATTTTCTTCCTTCTTCCCTTCTTTCTCCCATTTCCTTCCTTCCCCTCCTTTCTCCCATTTCCTCCTCCTCCTTCTTTCTCCATTTCCTTCCTTCCTCCTTCCTTCTTTCTCCCATTTCCTCCCTTCTTCCTCTTTCTCCCATTTCTTTCCCTCCTTCCTTCTTTCTCCATTTCTTCCTCCTCCTTCCTTCTTTCCCCCTTTCCTCCCTTCCTCCTCCCTCCTTTCTTCCTCCCTCCCCCTCTCCCCGCCCCTAGAAAGGCCGAGAAATAATTAAGACAAATTCCTCCTCTCGAATCGCTACCGGGTTTAACCTCATCTGAATTTGCGGTCGCCGACGGCCGTGGCCTGAGCGGTCCGGTTTAATGAGCGCCTCGCCGTCCGTGGGCGGAGGAGAGCTCACACCCGCTTAATCTAGGGCGTTCATCTGTTGCCGGGAACGCTACCACATATAAAGCGGTCGTTGTGGGAATTCCGTGAGGGAATTCGTCTTTTGGAGGGAAGTCGATTATCAGGTTTCAAATGTCCTTCGCGGGCGGGATGGCGGCCATCTTGGAATTGGATAAAAGCAACACTTTTTTTTTTTTTTTTTTTTTTTTTACTTAATAGTCAGGATAGATATGTTTTATTGGAGTTTTATTGGACTGTAATTGAACAAGTGTTTCAGAGTGATACTGGGGTAATAAAGTACTATAATGTATCTCATTTTATTCTTTTGTTAAAGTTGAAAATTAACGAAATGTCGGGAAAATCCTTCTATCCTGTGGCTCTCCCGCTGACGTTTCGGACCGATTTTTTACCGTCAGCCGAAGACGCCACCGCATCGCGTTTTCAAATAACAAGTGCGTTAGTAGTGGCATTTTCTAATTATTATAAAACTCTTAAAGTGAAAATGCTAAAATTGTACATTTCCTATGCTATTTATTATTTCTCATTTAATTTTCTATTGTCTATTATCTATTATTTATTTGTTATTATTATTATTATTTATCATTATCTATTATTCTATTTATCATTCTACAACCAAAACAAATACAAACAATTATCTTTTAAATCGAATTTTTCACTTGGACATAAAAATGAACAAATTATCAAAAACGAGAAATGACGGTTACCAAACCAGCCATTTCTTCGACGGAATCACTAAACCAGTTTATCGATCTACATTATTTACTTGTCGCGGCCAATCTATAAATCTCGATGTTTGAAAAATCAGATTTCTTAATGGGGTCATTAAGGTAATATCATTACACGGCGATGGTAATGAGATAGCATGAATTAAGCAGAGAGATAGCGAGGGGCGGGCGAGGTTAAACGGCTCGTTGGCTGTGTGTGTGATTAGGCTTGTGGGAGTGTGTGTTTGTGTGCGCACGCGTGAGTGTGTTTGTATGCGTGTGTATGTATGTGCATGTGTGTGTGTCGGTGTGTTTCTGTGTGTTTATTTACATCTGCATTTGTTTCTGTCCTTCCCTGCGTGTGTGCGCATACGTGTTTCAAAGAAAAGATTAGCGAAGTACATCTCGTATACATTTTCGCCACACACACACACACACACACACACACACACACACACACACACACACACACACACACACACACACACACACACACACACACAACGCACACACGCGCGCGCGCGCACCGGGTCAGAGCGTGGGAGGCGCACGAGAGGGCGGAGTTGGTATATGCAAATGAAATCATAAATGTGGCGCGGTACTTGCGCTACCGAGCCACATGTTGCCAGGAACGTGGGGTGAGGATGGTGATGATGATGGTGGTGATGTAGGCAGTGATGGTGCTAATTATTATGGCGGTGTTGGTGATGATTGTGATGGTGTAGGTGGTAGAGATGGGGGAGTGGTGATGCGATGATAAGGACGGTGACGTTGGGGAAGATGATGATTGTGGTTGATGATGGTCGGAGATAGATATAAAGGCAATGATGATGATGGTGATTGTGTCCCCCAAATACTCAAGATATCTGGAATTCCCCTTTTATGAATCAATTTCTGTCTGGAAATCGTTGGCGTTTGGATCGAGGCAATTCTCTCTCAAGTTCCTTTCCTCTGATGTGCTCTTGTTAACCTGATTCGGAATCTTATCCAAGGATTCATGCAATGGCGTGAATAAAGTGTGTTTCTTTTTTCACAGCTTTGTGTTGTATTATTTTTTTAATGATGATTTTTCTCTCTATTTCTTTATTTTTCTATCTAAAAATGCTTTGCCAAAACTGAATTGATTGTTAGACAACAATGATTTTATTTTATTTCATTATTATGTTTTATTTATTTCTATTTATTCATTTGTTTATTTATTTATTTATTTATTTATTGTTTATTTTTTTGAAAAGAGAAATGATCTGGTTGTTTAAAGAAAAAAGTATTTTCAATTTTGAATGATGGTCAGTGATGTCAGTCATAAAATTCCGCAAATATTCTCACTGTATCAATTGTGCAATAAGGTTTTTATCGCTTATTTTCACCGCAATACAAAAATAAAAGAATCAATACGAAATAGCAGTTATCAGCTTTAGTCATTATCATTAAATGAACAATTAAACGACTAAAATAAATCCACCGTCATGTGAATAAACATTAAAATTTCGAAAACTTCTGACCCATAAAATATCTAATCGTGTTCACAGCCATCCGAGGCGTCATGTGTATAAAACTTCTACTACGATTTGTCTTCACAAGGGAGCGCGCGTATAAAAAAAAGAAAAAAAAAAAAAAAAGGTTAGGCCTAAAGATAAACATAAAGAGACCGATTGTTATTGTGATTGTAGGAATAACATCTTTTTTTTTTTACGTAAATAACTCAATCAGGAGGTCACTAAAGCAGAAGAGAGAATCGTGGCGGGACCATTTCAACTTTTGTTAGCTAGATTACACTCTTCCAAATACAGGTGAAGCACTCTCGAAACCCCAGCGAGAGACGGTCACAACACCCATAAAACCCGTAAGGTCGTCGCTCCCCTTCCGTCTGTAGGTTAAAATCACCCCTAATGCCGAACACCCTCGAGTGGGATGGTCAGCGCAGCCCCCGCCCCGCTCCCAACCTAACTCCAACCGCAGGTGATTTACGGTCAAAGCTAAATTCACCCTAATTGAAATAATCAAAATAACAACATCAGCAGATATATCGCGAGAGGAGTAAAGTGGATTTCATTAAGCTCAGAGATATCCGCCATTTTTTTTCTTCCTTTCTTTATCTGAAAAAATAAGATAGACGAGAGGGAGCTGACACAACGAGCAGTCTACGATGGCGACGCCCACGAGCCTAAATCAAGGTAAACCGAGACCGAGGTTCTATAACACTTCCTCGTATTAAGGCTTGTGGAGTACGTGGCGTAAGGATAATACAGGTTTTAATGGGGAACGTGTTTCACTTGCGCAGATGCGTATAGCATATGCTCAAACTCAAAGACCAGGAAAAAACAGGCACAATGACTTGCGTTAAACAAGCATAAAGATACGCAAGGCATACATGAAAATTACATACTA